GAGATCTTTTCAAGGTCTGCAGGGTACCACACTGTTAGGTGTGCAAACATGATTCACAAGATAAACACAGAGATTTCAAATCAGAATCCAAAGTGTTGCAAGCTCACTGAGCACCCAGGGTTGTAGTGGACATGGTGAGGGGAAGGGAAGACTTACCCTTCCCAGGCTACTGCTGCCACTGCTGAAAACTAAAAGTTGACGTTTTCCAAGGGCTGCCTCGAGTCTAAGAATGTTGAGAACCACTAGCCTAGATTTTTTTACAATGATGTAGAGTTATTTAGGAGCCTAAAAAGTTTGATTCCAACACGCTTTAAAAATTCTAGCCTTAGACAGCTAAATGTGTGTTTAAGCTCTCACCTTTAAAAGTTTTATCTGAGAATTAAAAAGAAGATAATAATCAACCGTTAAATTTATTGAAAGCCTAAATAATGTTTCATTAACACAAATATTTTGTTCTAAGTTACAAAAATGTGATGGCCCAAACATTTGATGTGATGGTCCCTGATGCTAGAAGCACACATTTTGTTGAATCCATGTAAATGTTGCTGCAGGATGAAAGCCTTAACTCCCACACTTGTAATATTGATAAGATTTATGCCACTAGTTGCACCTTAAAAACAGATTAATTTGCATAACTGACTCATCTGCATGCGTCTAACATAGCATTAAAACTAACTTTCTAAATTGATTTTGATTTAAAATCTGATTTAAAAAAAACCAAAACAATAACTTGTGGAAGGCAGGGGGAAAGTGACTTAAATTAGCCCATCCTTTAAGACGATAAAATATTGAGAGAAAGGTGTATGTAAACAATCAGGCTTAAAAAACCCCTACTATTCTGAAAAACAATTGTGCAATTCCCTAACGCAGAGGTTCCCAAACCCTGGGCCGCAGCCCGGTACCGAACTGCAAAGGGTTTGCTGCTGGACCAGAAGTCTGGAAGTGACTGGCATATGGCAGACTGGCAGCCAACCCTCTTTTATACTGACTTATCTTTTCCCTGATAAAATTCAACTTACTCATAAAAAGGGTTGGCTACCGGTCTGCTGTATGCCAGTCTGCAGTTTGCCGGTCTGCAGTCACTTCTGGTCCATGGTCTAAAAAGGTTGGGAGAATCACTGCCCTAATGCTTCTGGAAACTTAAACTGTCCACTTCTCCTTCGAGATGCATTCATTTAAAAACTAAGAACTCTTACTGTACCTTGATCCATTACCACTTTGGTACAAAGTGGAACATGTTCACAGCTTTTTAAAAGAAAAATGTTACTAAAAACACTCCCTAAAAGAGTCTCATAAACATTCCTTGAAGGAATCTCCACTGATATTAAAGTTTTCACCTACCCAGCAAACTACCCTAAGGGTTCGAAAGAGTGAGAGAGTAAAATTCACTTAGAAGTCTCACATGAGATTACCATTTTTTTTCTCTGATACACTCTAAAATGCTCTTAGGCAATACCTACCCTCATAGATAGAAAACATGACACAAGGTGAAGAAATCAGAAAAAAAGTCACAGACAGCAGGCTTGTTACTGTCTGCTATTTAGACTAAACACAATTATTGAACTCAAGCCAAACATGACCCTACTACAAAAGCCAACACAAAAACAAGCACATAAAACACTTTTGAAATTAGTTTCAGATGTGTTTCACTGAATTGAAGTGATAGCATTTTACTTGGTTTAAAAGTTCCATACACAGGTAAGAAGAAAACCTCTCAAATCTCTTTCTCTCTCTCTTTTGAAAAGCATACTCCTGGATACCTGACACATAGAAGGTATTGAATGTTAGTGGATTTTTTTAATGAAATCTTCATATTTTCCCAAGCAGGAAGCAACTGTGACCACCTGAAACCTGAGATCCTGCTCCTGCCTTTGTTTCAAGGTAATTTGCATCATCACAGATCCTCACAGAAGTGAGAGGCTCCATATCAGCTATGAACTGACTGCCCAGAGGAGTTTTCCATCTATTGACTCCTCTGTGAAATCCTATGAAATATGAACTTTCATTTCTACCCAGGAGAACTTTTACAATCTTTTCTCCAATGCCTGATGAAGAGTGTTTGTACCTGAAAGCTTGCAATTAAAAATATTTTTTTGCAAAACTTGTGTTGGTCTAATAAAAGATATCATCTCTACTGCGAGTCCTAATTCATAGTTTCATAGTTGGTAGGGTCGGAAGGGACCTGACCTGCTCATCAAGTCTGACCCCCTGCCATGGGCAGGAAAGGATGCTGGGGTCAAATGACCCCAGCAAGGTATCTATCTAGCCTTCTTTTAAAGACCCCCAGGGTAAGAGTGAGCACCACTTCCCTTGGAAGTTGGTTCCAGATCCTAGCCGCCCTGACTGTGAAGTAGTGATAATTGCCTACTTCACTTTAAATGTTACTATACTAAAGCCACCAAGCCACTACATATGTAGCCCAAATGAATTCAAGTAGATTATTTACATGCTTAAACGTAAAATATTGCACCTAAGTGTTTGCAGGATCAAACCTAGCTTCTCACTGATGCACAGCATTACCCAACAACGAGTAGACTACATTTTCAATAGGTGAAATCTAAGACTGTCCAAGTTTGTGTGATGTTTTAATTTCAGATTGGGGAGAGCTGAAAACCCTTTAACCACGGGTTTCTTTTGATCTGGTCAGTTCACCCAAAGCAGCTAAAAATACCTACCACAAGTATGCTGTTAAATGCTATTAAATGAAGCTATCAAAATCTATAAAAACAGATTCACTATAAATGCTATAATCCAGTCTTTTCCCTGATAAAAGTCAATTTACTTGAGTAAATTTAACAACTAGCTTAAGCATAGTTTGTGTCATTAGTAAAAACATGTCAGAATAATATCCTGTTCTTTGTACTTTTGAAGGTGTGGTAAAACTATCCAGACCTCATGAAAACGACAGCATCAGGTATTACAGGACACTGACACTTGCCTGAAGCAAAGGCTCATTACAGTCCCTTCCAGATGTAGTCAGCTTAATTTCTAAACAAATTCTGACACTGGAAATAGTACAAGAAGGGAATCCTCTGGAATTTGTTATTTACTATGTCTGTTTATTGTGTGCTATCTTTTCAGAGGCCTGACTATTGAAACTTCAAACTAACCCCTTTCCTACTGCTTCAGGTATTATTAGCATGTAATAAAAACACTATATTTTTTCCAAAGAATATTTTAGTACTATTCACAGTGATTCAAATCACTGTCCCAAATCGATTCAGCTGAATCTGATTTGGAGATTTGGCCGCCACTGAATCAGTTGAATCTCCAAATTAAACAGGGCGCATCCCCTACCTGCTTTTCCAGCCCTGTCAATGGCTGCCCCGCCATGCTCCAGTGTCCCAGCTCTTTAAAAAAAGGCCCCGCACTCATCGGCTCCTGGCAGGCGGGGGGCAATCCCCACTGCTCCCCACTGCATGGGGAGGGGTTCTGCTACAAGCCGCCAGAAGACCCGAGGGCTGCTGCAGCATCCGGTGAGTACAGGGCTTTTTTTTTTTTGAGCCGGGAACTGGGGCCGCATGGGGCAGCCATTGATGAGGCTGGGAGAGCGGGCAAGGGTCAGGGCGGCGCTCAGGGAGGCTGGGGGAGCAGGCAGGGGATGGAGGCTGGGGGGGGTCCACCCATGGTCCCCTTCCCCCCCCCCCGCCCCCTACTTACTGGCACAGAGTCCGGGTCCAGCTCCCTGCGGTGGTGAGGGGGGACTGCCCAAATCTCCAGAGCTCTCCAAATCTTTTCTGAATTCAGAGAGCTTCGAATTGATTTGGACCTTTTTATTGGTCTCCTGATTTGGGCCAGATCTCCTCCAAATCGAATCAGCACCCAAAGCTTCGCACAGCCCTAGCAAGCACAACACACCAACAGGACCAAAAGCTAGCAATTCCTACTACCTCAGACAGATCGTAGACAGAAAATAAAAATACATTTGATTAATTTAAAATTATCCCGCCTCTATCAAGACAAGTGATCAACATCCATAAGTCAACATATTACTATGAGTAATAAAGCAAGACATTAACTCTGGCAAGTCTAGGAGAGCAAAATTATGCAGTTACACTAGTTGCACTTAAAGTTGGTATCAACTAAGCAAATTGTGTTGGTCTAACTAAAATACATATAATTTTTCTTTTTAACCTGACAAATAAAGTTTTGTTTCTTTTTAATAAAGGAATATATATAATGTTAATTCAAGTGAGCCTACATGTACTGCAGGTTCTAAAACATCCTAGGATAAACTATAGCTATACAATATAGCTAGATGTCAGGGGAAAAGACAGGTACATACATACCGAGAATGCTATTGTCCAAGCTCTTACAGACTTCCCATATCTTATAATAGAAATGAAAAGAAGGTAATCTTTATGTTCTGGGACAGTGAAAGTATATGCCATCAAAAAAATAAAAAGGAAAGAAAATCTAGTAACAGTGAAAGAACAGTCATGATGACATAAATACATTTATTAATAATACATAATTATTTTCTACCTATTGGGACTTTTTACCATCTTTCATTTTCCCTAAGCCTGAGGAAAGGTATGTGTGCCCAAAAGCTTGCAGAAAAAGATTTTTTTGTGTGACCTTGTATTAAACTAACTAAGAGGTATCATCCAAGAGTATGAACCAAGAGTTCTAGAGTTGTGCACATCTATATAATACAAAGACATTTCTGTTAGGGTTGTACGAAGCTTTGGTTGCCGATTCGGTTTGGAGAAGATTTGGTCCGATTGGGAGATTGAATCACCAAATCCGAATTGAATCAGGAGACCAAAAAATGCCTATGAATCAATCTGGAAAAGATTCGGAGGTTCAGAAGGCAGTCTTTCAGGGGAACAGAAACTGAGAAGAGGGAGGGGAAGTAGGCGGGGAAAGACTGACATCTGTAGCTGGCCAGTGACTGTGATCTTTCCCCGAGTCCCTGTTCAATCACAGTGCTCTGGGGGAGGGACGTAGAAATAGCATATAAGCCTCTGTCTGCAGACTTTCTGTCCCTTTTGTGAGCTGTTTCTGCCTGAGCAAAAGAGGGGTGGGTGGCTGGCCCAGAAACAGGTAGGCGGGCGGAGATCTAACCAGCACCGGGAAGGCCCCCTGTTACAGTCTATCATCCCTGCCGTTTTCATCCAAATCTGCCTTAACACATACAAGTGACATGAGTTTTGCTTTCAACAGTTTGAGGTGCAGTTTCCCAGAAACCCGTGCACCTATTTCCTTGAAACTTGGCAGGCTTCATGCCCTCACAAGGGGCTACCATCTCTGCTGTTTTCATCCAAATCTGCCAAAAAAATGACAAAGTTATAGGTATTTCAGTGATTCCCCATTATAGTCTATTGCCAAATCACCAAATCTCTTCCAATCAGCGCTGAATCTTTCCAAGCTGATTTGGCCAAATCGATTCAGGACAGTGATCCAAATCTCCAAAACAAATCACTGTCCTTCAAACTGGTCAAATATGAATCAAATACTTCCCTATTTGCACAGGCCTAACTTCTGCATGCAGCATGGAATTTAATGCAGGAGGAGATAACAACAGATAGTTGAATTGATCTTAAAGTAGGGAATGGGATAATTTTGTAACAAGTGTAAATATACAACCTACATTAAGATAAATCAATTATTCAAAACAGTAGTTCTCAATCTTTCCCATACTAGCACCCCTCTGGGATTCCTATTTAACAAGAAAACATGGAACATGCAAGTTGTTTACAACCCTTAAGTTGCAAACTGTGCCTTAGGGCATAAACTAAACATAAAGTAAATGTCCTCCTTCCAAATCAGACAGCCCTGTACAACTGTTTAACTATATTACAGTGTTTATCACTGTGAGGCACAGAGTACTGCCTACTACCTGAACAAAACAGAGCACACACAGACCACAGGCTTTATTTGTTATTAGTCCTACCACAAGAAGTTTGCATTCCCGAGAAACACCATAAAATAGATTTTAGCTCTTAGAAATCTATGCTAGACAAGACACTTGTGCAAAATGAAGACAAAGCAGTAGGTAAGGAAGAGATTAAAAAAGAAGATCCCCAGAAAGTTTAAACATAGCTATTTATATATTATTTTACAGACGCAACACATGAGAAATTGTTACATCCAGGAGGAGCGGGGGAGGTGTCTGTGCATATTTGCATGTAAAAAATAAGATTCCAGAGGTAATTTTTTTAAAATTAGCAATGAGGTAGAACATGCAGCCCCAGAATGGTTAGCATGAGGCCCCTGGGCTCCCATCCAGCCATCTCCAATCCCCTCCCAGCCATCTCACTTCACCTTCTCCAATTTCTCTTGCCACAGCAACAGGTAAGGGACTGGAGTGCCCAAGCTGTAAATGCAGGAAAGGAGCCAGGCTGCCCACACTGAAGGTGGATTCTGTGCACCTCCAGGAGAGTGAGAAACAGGTATTGAACCACTGGTGACATGTAGGAGGGGCACGTGCTCCCCCTGAGTGTGCTGATGCACCCCCTGACAGGCTGTGCTCCCCGCTTAGGCTATGGGTGGGGTGGGGGGGGAGGTGGGAGTGCTAGTGTTCCCCACCCCCCGAGAGTGCTGGCTGGAGCGCCGCGGCTGCTTTCTGGTCGGTGAGATTGGCTGTGGGACAGATCCCCCCAGTCGCTGACTGGTCACTGGTGGGGGGCACGTGCCCCCCCTCCCCCCCAAGGTGGTACCAGTTGCCAATACATTGAACACATGGTGGGGTGAAGGGAAGCCAGGCTGCATGTGCAGTAGAGTTGGGGGGGGGGGGGGGGGGGGAGGGGGG